AATCCAGAACAATCAGAGCAAACGCCTGAACATCCGCTGACAGACAGATGAGAGCAGACGAGGAACAGTCTCCCAGCACAACCATCTGAGATCCTTCAGCTTGCACATAAACACTCAGTGGAGGACTGAGAAGAACCAACATCCCTCTAGTCCTGCAGCACTTACAGAAACATCGCATTTCACTGAGAACACAACTACAGACCTGCTGTGATTAGCAAACATGGAACATAACAGCATTTAAACAGAAACTCTACCCAACACGTGTACACTTCTGTTCAAAACTTGGGCATCAGGAAATTCTGGGAGGGAAAAAAAGGAAAATTACTATCAGTCAGCAAGGATGCATTAAATTGATCAAAAGTGACAGGAAAGATTTATAACATTACACAATTTCTATTTCAAATAAATGATGTTCTTCTGAACTTTCTGTTCATCTGTGAATCCTGAAAAATAAAATACATCACCGTTTCCACAAAAATATTGTGCAGCACAACTGTGTTCAACGCTGATAATAATCAGAAATGTTTCTCGAGCAGCAAATCAGCATATTATAATGATTTCTGAAGATCATGTGACACTGAAGACTGGAGTAATGATGCTGAAAATACAGCTGCGCATCACAGAAATACATTACAGTTTAACACATTCACATAGAAAACAGCTGTTTTAAACTATTTCTGATCAAATAAATGCAGCCTTGGTGAGACTTTTCAACCATTCAATCCAAGATTGTGTCTCAGTTATTGAATTGAGACATAATATGGGACATAAAAAAGGTAAAGTTTACCTATAGTAGTCAAAATTTATCCATGACTACATTTTAGTCCAAAAGTGACATGCTAAATAAAACTGTTCATATTAAGTGTAGTGTATTTAATTTAATTTAAACAGGACTAATATTTATTTAGTTTCGTTTGAAGCACTGTTTTGTGCTGCTGTACGTTTAATTAAACAGTTGAAATCTCAGCTGCGATGGAAAGACCATCAGAAAAAACAGAGCTAATTGCCAGCAGAGAATGTGTGTGTGTGTGTGTGTGTGTGAGTTGAGTGTATGAGAGTCTAAACGTCCAGCAGCACATCATAACACACCTGCTGCTCTGCCGAGATGAATATGTTAATGACTGATCAGAAACAGCTGCGAATCACTGCAGATCTGCTCCAGACATCAGCCTCTCAGACCTCTGCATTCACCTTCAGTGGGATCCGCTCACAGCCATCTGCAGGGAACAGCATTCATGGAACCAGCATTTCACAAAAATGACCGAGGCTCATTTGATCTGCAGGAGTTTGAGATTATTAAAATCTCTTGCATTAAAGGGTTTAAGCTCATCATTTACTCACCCTCATGATGTTCCAAACCCATAAGACATTCAACTGTATTTGCTTGATGCATGCAATCCAATGAGGTTTGAAAGAGTCTCTTCTGCTCACCGAGGCTGCAATTATTTGATCAAAAATACAGGAATATTGTGAAATATTATTACAATGCAAAACAGCTGTTTTCTGTCTGGATATCTGTTAAACAGTAATTTATTTCTGTGATGCGCAGCTGTATTTTCAGCATCATTACTGCAGTCTTCAGTGTCACATGATCTTCAGAAATCATTCTAATATGCTGATTATTAGAAACATTTCTGATTATTATCAATGTTAAAAACAGTCGTGCTGCACAATATTTTTGTGGAAACCTTGATGCATTTTATTTTTCAGGATTCACAGATGAATAGAAAGAACAGCATTTATTTGAAATGGAAATCTACTGTCACATTACGTCTTTACTGTCACTTTTGATTTAATTGTTTCCTTGCTGAAGTATTAATTTATTTTATTCTCTTTTTTTCTAAAATCTTACTTATGGTTTCATTAACAATATCTTTACGTGTCAGAAGACGAATGAAAGTCTTCTGCGCTCTCAGAAAAAAATGGGGTAAAAAAGCTGTCAGTGGTGCGGGACCCTTACAAAACATTCACCTTTGTGCCTTATTTACCCATGAAAGGTACATTTTAGTACTTAAATGCTACACATTAGTACCTTGTGAAAGGGTGATAAGCAAATGATCACAATTTTCATTTTTGCGTGAACTACCACTGTAATGCTGTTTACTGACACACATTAATGAGAGACCAGCAGAGTTAAAATCACAAGTCTAAAAGCAGAAGCAGGCAGACATGAAAACAGCCAGACGTTCAGAGCACAATCTAATTTATAGGCTCTTTCATGCACTGAAGCATCATGAACACAATGACAGGAAGCTCTCCAGAGGAACTGACTCGCCTGTTTACTGTGCTTTTACTTTTTTCTGTACTCCGTTAAGAGCTAGCCGTTACCGGGGCGCTGAGGGCCTTTGTGTTTGGGGCCCGTCTCTTGGGTTAGAGATTAATGGTAAGGGTTTTTGATCAAGTAAAGGTCAGAATAACTGCAGTAATATCTCCAGATGAACACTTACTGGACTGAAGCAGCTCAGCTTTACTTGATTCTCCATCAATCATGTTTTAGAGTCTCAAATCTGATCCTCAGGATCTTTTGAGGAGCGTTTGTTTCCAGAAGCTTTACTTTCACTGTCCCTCAGCGGAGGAATGATCTTCACAAGCCTCCAGAACATCTCACATCTTCTGAGGAGCCTTTATTTCTTCAGCTCTCAATCACTGCATTATATGTTTGGAGCATTTCAATCTCATCTTACTGAGACAGATTACTGGAGATATAGAGCCACGACTGATGTTTATATCATTTTATGTCAGTATCTGCTGCACTGTTATAAAGATCTCACTGATTTACATCACAAGCATCAGAATTTCATCATATAAATATCAGCATCTGCACATAAATTGCATATTTTTGCTCAGTTTGAGTCTCTGAATAAACCTGAGCTGTTTTTTCCTCCATATTCTCACTGTATCAGATGCATCAAATATGATACAAAACATAAAACACACATGCAAACTTTTTATAAAAAATGTAGTTGAAAGGTTGAATGAACTGTTCCATTTCATTGTTTTCTGACTGTGCTTCATATGTCAGGCGTCACAGGGTTAATAGTGCCCAGACAGGAATCTCTTGAGATCTCTCTGCTATCTCTCCACAGCTCTCAACAGCTCAGAGAGGAAGAGGAAGCTTTGGAGAGCGTCACTCTGGACCCGACTTCAAGAAAGCTTCAGAAGATAGACACAGAATATATGGAGAACTCACAACTTTATTAGCCTTTATAACTGAACACAAACAATCACAAACGTCTCATCCATCGGCGTCTCTGAGCAAGATAAGAGTGACGCGTGTCACCGGCCTCGGCAGGATTTGAGGAGCCGGTGTTTTCTCTCCCGAGCCGCTGGAGTTCAGCCGGAGTTCACAGCAGATGTTTGCCAGGAGTCTCACGCTGCAGGAAAGCTAAATTGCTTCCGGACTGACAGCAACAAACGTCCCCGTGACGGGTCAGACTTGGCTCAGGGTTACGATGTCCGAGGGGAAGCCGTCTCTCAGCAGGATCCCTCGGCCCCGCTGGCAGTCCAGCTCCGATACGAACCCGTACCAGTAGATGACCAGACCGGGACCAAACCTGCAGATGGGAGAGAAAGCTCGGTGTCTTGAAGAACATGCACACCAAACGTTTTGGGGTGACGAGCACATTTAAAATCATGATAAAGTCACTTCTGTTGAGCTCATGGTGGCTGACACTGAAGAAATGATGGAGATTTTAGGACAGAAGAATTTTGCAAAAAAAAAAAAAAAGTTCTTGTTTTTCAATACAAATATCTAAACGTCCTTAAATCAAGACACATTTACTTGAAAATCTAAATAACTTAAATATGTCTGTCAATAGGGTTTGAAAAATATGGAAGCCTATTTACACCATGAGATATAAAATTAAAAAGAAGGTAAACTTAAAAAGGTAAAACTTTTTATCTCACAATTCAGACTCACAAATTATATACATATATTTTTTTTCTTCTAAAAATAGTGAGATCTAAACTCAGAATTGCAAGAAAAAGTCCATTAGTTTGGACGTCAAACAAAAAATAATCTTATTTTCTTTTTGAATACATTTTTTTAAGCATAAACTTAATTTTGATAGATTTGTTTAAGTTTTCAACTTAATATCTGAAGTAATCTTGCATCTCCAGTAACTGTATCTTGATTTAAAGGGGTCATGAACTGAGAAATCAAATTCCCTTGATCTTTTGTCATATAACGGGTCAATGTATTATAAAAACATCCAGTAAGTTTCTATACTCAAACTTTCTCGTTAGTTTAGAAACAGCTTTTATTGAAACCAAGCTCAGAAAATGACTCGTTTCGGGATGTGCCGCTTTATGATGTAATAGTGAGGCTAAGCCCCGCCTCCACAGGAAAATATCAACACCTGCTTCTACAGCTCTGCATATTTAGCCCCACCCACCGATTCTACAGCACTGCCTCTTTAGTCCCGCCCACCGACTGCCTCTTTAGCCCCGCCCACCGATTCTACAGCACTGCCTCTTTAGCCCCGCCCACAGATTCTACAGCACTGACTCTTTAGTCCCGCCCACCGATTCTACAGCGCTGCCTCTTTAGCCCCGCCCACCGATTCTACATCACTGTCTCTTTAGCCCCTCCCAGAGATTCTACAGCACTGACTCTTTAGTCCCGCCCACCGATTGCCTCTTTAGCCCCACCCAGCGATTCTACAGCACTGTCTCTTTAGTCCCGCCCACCGATTCTACATCACTGTCTCTTTAGTCCCACCCACCGATTCTACAGCACTGCCTCTTTAGCCCCGCCCACCGATTCTACATCACTGTCTCTTTAGCCTCCCCCCCGACACGTGCTTGTAGTAGGAGGAGAGGAAACAATAGAGGGACGCAAACACAGAATTACTCCAACAGAACCATACAGATGACTTTACAAGATCACAACACACTGTTGTTGTTATTACTGATTATAATGGGCTCTGCTGTCTTGTGTCCGGTGTAAACATGGGGGAAATGAGCAAAGAGCTCTAGATCGCGCCAGTGAAACACTGTCTCTTTGCTTTACTTTGCTACAGATTCATTTCTAAACGAGACAGTATGATGATCTTTTCAGAGAGAGCGAGTAAAGGCTGATGCAGCGCTGAGTGACTAGAGCGGATCGACAGTAATGTCGCAGCACAGACGTGTGAGGAAACCTGCTTTCACCACTACTGCATTGTGTTCCAGACCGTTTGATATGAACTGAGTTTATATCACGTTTTTAACCCAGATGACCCATGTTGTTTTCAGAGTACGTCACAGCAGCGTCTGTCTGTTATTTTAATAAGTGAAACTGTCAGCCAATCACAGCAGTGGGCATTTACTAGCCCCGCCTATAAAAACAGAGCGTTCTGCAGAGAGGCTCAAAACAGCAGAAAAAATAACTTATTACTTATAAATTATGATGTTTTATGCAAAATCACACTAGCACTATAAGCGAACCTCAGAGAACATCATAAAATAATAAAAAATGCAGTTCACGACCCCTTTATGGATATTTAGATATTTGTACTGAAAAACAAGACAAAAACACTGAGGAATAACATTATTTTTGCAGTGTATTAAACCACTCAACAACAACTAGCTGTTCAAGTTCCGCTCATGTAAACATGGTAGTGAATGAATCAAGAGTGAATCAGGTCATAAAATGTGCTTCTGTGTGAGTAAACTGCTGATTTTTCCCTAAAGCTCATGAAATCTCACGAGGCCTGCCTTCACCGATCCTCTCAAACTGTCCACTAACACAGGTGAAGAAAGACTGACAGCAACAGCAACCAATCACAGTTAGTTCTACCACAATAACTGGAAACGGAGTCAGGTCAGCCAGCGAGTGTGTGTTCTGGGCCGTTCGGTTCAAGTCCCGTGCTCTCTTTATCACACACTGATTCACGGTCCTCAAGGAACGAGCCGAAACCAACAGCCCTAACAGACGCAGCACAGCTTCATCGCTGGAGAAACGTGGACGGGTCCCATCCTTTCTATGGAAATGTTGTGTACGTGCAATGTAAACATTTGCATTCTATAAGACGAGAGGTGCAGCGAATGCGGTGACGTATGGAGGTCTGGACAGAGAGAGAAGCCAAGAAACCTTGAGTTATTACAGTGTTGTTTTTAACTAATTAACCCTCCTGTTCTGTTGAGGCTCTGAGATCTCAAGGCCATTTTAAGAGCTTGAAAAACTTACTTAACACTGACGTATCAGGCTGATATTTCATACACTGCAACCCTATGAGACGTCATCAAAAGTTCAACTGCTCTTTGAGGTGTCAGGGAGTGACTATTGTGCACATTACAGACATTCACTCCTGACAGCTGCCGACTCTGATTTGTCTTCATGTATTTTTCCACACTGACCCCAAACAGAAACAGCGCTAGTGTTCTGGATAACAGTCACGCCTGTGAGAGGGATGTCTGCTTCATGATTGAACAGACTAAACAAACTAAACCAAGATCACACAATAGCAACAAAGAAAATATAAATATTCAAATATTGCTGAAAATCTTGAACACTGTCTGCGCGTCAAACTGAGTGAAACAACAAATGTTCATTTGTTAATGTGATGAATTACATCCATGAAAAATCACCTCAACACCAGATTTGCCATTGTATGCCATTTAACACAATATACTACATTTTATATCTAATTTAAGCATTACATATTATTACAAAAGTACACATTTTTTTATACATCATGAGTTTTTAGCTTCACCCTACCTCATGCATTTTCTTATATTCTTCTCTTTATTACAGTTAGTGTTAATTTTGTCAGCTATTTTTTAGTCTTAGTCTTAATCCTGTGTCAAATGTAACTTTTAGTTTTTATCATATCTAGTCAACTTGTCCTGTTTTAGTTTTAGGCGACTAAATGTCTGAGAATTTTGGAAACTTACACATTTTCATATTTGCGTCTTACTGTATAATGGTTAAAATGATGAAAAATATATATTATTTTGCTCAATTTTAATTGCAATGATTGTTGTCATTTGGGAAATTTATTTGTACATTTCATCAGAAGTAGTTTTTTCACCAATAAGCAGAAATCAATAGAATATTGACTCATATGCATGGTTTATTTGACCTCATCTAACGTTAGTGTACAGATTTATAACTGGATATCAATTAGAAGCTAAATAAACACCAAAGACTTCAGATATACACTCGCACTGTCTACGTTATGACAACTGCTGTAACAAAAACCTACCCTCTAATATTATAACAGAGAAATTCCTAATAGTAATTCCAAATTGCATTAATGTTTCTCTTTTAAAACAACGGCAAAAAGACTTATTGCTGCACAGAGGTTGCGTAAGTAACGTTACAATCAGAAAACAATACAGTGGAGATCCCTGACAGAACACAGACTGCTGAATAACACTTTCATTGAAGCAGAACACCTCAAACAGAGATCGCTAAACCCCAGATTGAACAGTACTGTATGTCGGTGTTTCAGATCACGGCGCCTGGCAGCAAACTAAAAGGTTTTGGTAAAGTTTTTGTTCTTTTAACTACATTTTAGTCTCGTCTTTTTTCGTCAGCGATATTGCATGTTCATTTAGTCTCATTTATCGTTTCATGACCTTATTATCATCTCGTTTTCGTCAGGGGAAAAAAACCTCGTTGACGAACATTTTTCGTCATCGTTTTCGTTAACGAAATTAACACTAATTACAATTTTCTAAATTCCTGTATCAAGAATGGCCGGTTTCGTTCATGTTTTTCCAAAGTTCCAAAATGAATGGTTTTCTATATGCTTTGTTTATAGATAACACTCTATACTGTTTTATTTACTTTTTTTTGAATATATTAATTTTAATTGTATTTCAGTGTTTCCCGACACTGTTCCTGGAGGAACATCATCATCCAAAACCGTGTTGCCGTGCCTCCAGGAACGCTGATCTAGTCGTCACATAAATGCTAGTGGTAATAGTCCATGTTTGAACTGGCCCTGTTTTATTTTAATAGTATCTGAAGGAAGCAAATGTCCTCTTGCCATACAGTAGCTCTGATTTGCCCGCATTGAATGGAAATCGCCTCACTATATTGATTTATCATAACGTCAGATGGGTTGGGACAGGATGACATATAGACGAGTCGTGCTCTTCTACTGACTGCTGGGTTTGGATGAGCAAACAAGGAAGGGAAAACAAGAAGTTGACTTCATCAGCACATTTGATATCATGAGGTCGAGGGTACAAAACAACCCCAACAGAAGCGGCATGGTGGCGAAGGGTCTCGGGTTAAATAGACGCGCTTGTAACCCCCGAGGGAGGCGTCCGAACAGCTTCCGCTCTGAAGGCAAAAACACAAAGGCTGCTGTACTTCAATGCAAAGGTTCCATAAATAAAGGCATAAACGGACACGGGGCTCCAATTATAATTGAGGTCTATTATGTGGGCCACCGCTTCGCCACCTAAATCTGGCACAAGTATCGCTCCGGGGAAGTCAGTGATCTTCCAATAAACATCTAACTGCGTAACGAGTCGGTGAAATTGTTTGTGAAATGTAGCTAATTTGGAGCGCGTTGGCTTTGGCGGGCGGAGAGAGTGGGATGCCGCTGAGAGCGTCGCT